CTAGGCCTTCCTTTCAAGATGCTAAACACTAAACCCTACTAAGCTCCAGTGGGAAGGGCCAGTGGACGTGGCATCTGAGAATAGGGCTGAGAGCCAGGAATGTTGGCAGATAGAGGAGGAGGAGCAGGAGCCGGTTCTAAGATGACTTGGGGGCTAGGTTCTCTCAGACACAGATTTTACACAGCCTTCTTCCTACGAGAACCTGCTCCCCAAATCTAATGCATAGTTTGTTTCTCTTCCTATCTCTGCCCTGGGCCCCTACCTTAGCTTTTTGCCAACCGATCCAGCATCATGAGGCATTTTGGGCCTGAGGACCAACGCCTGTGGAAGGATGTGACAGAAGAGCTGATGTCAGATGAAGAGGACAGTCTTAATGAGCCAGGTGTCTGGGTGGCCCGGCCTCCCCGGTTCCGGGCCCAGCGCCTCACAGAGCTCTGCTACCACCTGGATGCCAACTCTAAGCATGGCACTAAAGCCAACCGTGTGTATGGGCCTCCCTCAGACCGATTACCTTCTGCTGAGGCCCAGCTCCTTCCACCAGAACTTTATAATCCTAATTTTCAAGAAGAGGAAGACGAGGGAGGTGATGAGAATGGACCTGTCTCCCCATCCTTTGACCAACCTCACAAAACCTGCTGTCCTGACTTGAACTCATTCATTGAAATCAAGGTGGAAAAGGATGAATGAAATCTATAACCAAGAATAACTCTGGCATCTGCCACTCCCCATGTCCCAGGGATGGGTGGCCATGGGGCTTCCCAGATTAACCAGGTGTCCTCTGCAGTCTGAGAAAGCAAATCTGTCTCTCTTCTTACCACAGTCCCCAATGGAAGTGGAAGCTGGCAGCTGTGGTGGGGTAAAAAGACTTACCTAGAAGGGGGACCTCCCTGGCTCCCTGTGAATGGCAAGCCAGAAAATGCTTATTTCTAAGCATAAATAGTGCCTCGGGGCGCCTGGGCTGAGGAAAGGAGGAGGATGGGTCTAAGAAACATGAGGCCTTTGTGACATATGCCCCAGTCTCGGAGTTGGTTTTTTTCTGGTTTCACACAAAGCCCTGGGGAAGCAGCCCTGGTTGCACCTTCTGCTTTCGCCGTGACTGCTGGTCTGGCTCTGCAGTGGCCGCCCCACAGGACCAGTCCAGGGTCCTACTGCCCCCTGGTGGGCAGTTTCAGTCATGGGCTTGCGTCTTCTGAGCAGAGCACCGCTCCATTATTTGGGAATTGGGATACAGATATAATAGCTATTGTTTGTTGAATTATGTAAGGCAGATTTTATTATTCCCACCTAACACATGAAGAAATTAAAGCTTAAAGAGTTCCATGTCTCACTGGCAGCTGCTGTCCCACTGTGTGACCCAGCAGTATATGGGGCTTTGTAGCTATTAGTCCTGTCAGCCAACCTGTATTTGGAGGAAGGGGTGTGTGTGTGTGTGTGTGCGCGCGCGCACGTGCACGGGTGTACACACTCACGCACATGCACCCACACACACTTGCATACAAACTTTGTGCCTGATGCATGGATTGTCAATTAAAAACGGCTTTCTGTTCAGTCATACAACAAATACTAACTACTTACTAGGTGTCAGGTACTGTGTTAGGTGCTGTGGGTACACTGTTGATCAGGTGAGGTGCTGATTAGAGGTTCTGTTATCTAATCAGGAAGCCAGGCAGTTAAGTCGACAGTGAACTGAACTGCCGTGGGGGTGATGATGGGGGGCTGTAAGGTGCCTCGGCAGCAGACAGCAGGGGTGGCTGACCTACTCTGGTGGTCTGGAAAGGCTTCTCAGAGAGTGGTGCTTAAACTGGTACCTGAAAGATGGGGAGGCGTTAACCAGAAGGGAAGGGGAGGCCGGGAGTGTTCCAAACAAGGGAATAGCAAGGATGAAAGTCCAGAGGCAAGAGACAGCACAGAGGAGTTGCCATCCTCCTGCAGAACAGTTTGAGGAAGGGATGGTGTGGAGAGAAGCTGGAGAGACACCGAGACCTCGTCAAGTATCTTAAATAATAGAGACTTTAGTTTGAAGGCAGTGAGAAATCGTTCAAAGGCGGTGAGCAGGGAAATGAGGTCATCAGTTTTGTGTTTGAGAAGAATCGCTTGCCCTCGGTATGAGATGGACGGCAGGGAGAAAGCCAGGCCGGGGCGGGGGGGGGGGGCGGGTACTTCTGCAGTGGCCCAGGAAAGAAGAGACAGCTGGACAGAAAACGATGGTGACAGGACAAATTTGAAAGTGATTTAAGAAGCCGGACTGATAGGACTTGGTGATTGACAGGCCTTGCTGACGGGATTTGGTTGGACTTGAGGCGGAGGGAGGAGGACAGAAGGTTGATGTTCAGGTTTCTGGCTTAAGCAGCAAAGTGGTTAATGGCGCCATTTACTCAGGGGACACTGGAGGAGCCAGTTTCGGGAGGCAGGGAAGGTGAAGTCAACTGAAAGCCTTGTATGCCTTTGAGACAACCAAGTGGAGATGCTAGTAGTCAGCTGAGTTTTTAAGTCCAAGAAAGTCTGGGCTAAGGGGCGCCTGGCTGGCTCAGTCAGTGGAGCATGTGACTCTTGATCTCAGGGTCATGAGTTCAAGCCCCATGTTGGGCATAGAGCTTTATTTATTTATTTTTTAAGATTTTATTTATTTATTTATTTGACAGAGAGAGACACAGAGAGAGAGGGAACACAAGCAGGGGCAGAGGGAGAGGGAGAAGCAGGCTTCCTGCTGAGCAAGGAGCCTGATGCGGGGCTCGATCCCAGGACCCTGGGATCATGACCTGAGCCGAAGGCAGACGCTTAACTGAGCCATCCAGGTGCTCCTAGAGCTTACTTTAAAAAAGTGTCTGGGCTAGAGATAAGGATTTGGGAGCCATCTGTGTACATAGTTCATAATTCAAATCTTGAGGAGGGAGAACAGGGCGAACAGGGCCTGTGGAGCTCCTGGCTCCAGATGAAACTATGGAACAGTTACTACTGGAGCATGCCTTCACTGCATCCCTTTGCCCCTTCACTTGCCTCTGGTTCTTGTTATCCCCTGAAAATACAGGTCGTTGGTCTCAACTGTGCCCATTGCTGCCACCACCAACTCCCACATGGGCCTCCCTTAAAGGCTTCTCAACTTCTCATAAGGTTCACTCTCCCATCCTCACTCCAGCATGGGAAAGCTTACAAATATAAGAGGCTCTGTGGATATTTTGGTTGTAAGTAGCTGGAAGGAAGAATCCAGGTTCTCCTTTCCCATCTGGAGACAGGAAAGGAGGGAGAGCCTTATGGTTAATTCTGAAGATGTCGCTCACAGCAGGTTCTGAAGGCAACCTGATAGCTCCCCTCTGTTACTAATGCTTTCAGTGCTCCCTGCTTCTAGTCTGATAGTGAACCCTCCTCTGGATCAGAGAAAAGCTGTAGGCCTGACAGGGAAACAGGCTGATTCCCCAGAGAGATGAGGTCAGGGAGACAATGCAGCTAGGACAAAGAAGCCAAATAGTTTGTGCCAAATTAATTTCCCCAAAGATATTAACCTCCTTTGCTTCCCATTCCCTAAGGCTACACTAAGATTATGAAAGGTGTTCAAATGTTGAAATGAAAATAATATGCATGATTTGTTTGCATAAAATTTTCATACTCATTTACTATCAAATACAAAGGAATCATTTTCCTTCCCCATTTTACCTCCTCTACCTCTTTTTTTTTTTAAAGATTTTATTTATTCTTATTTTGAGAGAGAGAGAGAGCACAAGAGGGGGGAGCGGGAGAGGGAGAACCAGACTCCCTGCTGAGCAGGGAGCCCGATGTGGGACTCGATTCCGGGACTCCAGGATCATGACCTGAGCCGAAGGCAGTCGCTTAAACAACTGAGCCACCCAGGCGCCCCACCTCCTCTACCTCTTGTCCCTGATGTGCTAAGGACAAAATCAGTTGCGCTGGTATTTGATTAGGCATGTTCAGCTTCAGCCACCGTTTCTTCTTTCCTTATTCTTCATGTTTACAGTATGGCCAACACTAGAAGTCTCCTCTTTCCCTTTTCCACCCTGATCTTTTTCACTTGCTAGCCCGTCTAAATGACATTTCTTTTCTTCCTCTTTAATACTTTAATACTTAACTCTTTATCACAATCTCCTGTGGGCCCACCAACGGGGGAGGCGTTCGCTAGCCCTAACACCAGGCCTCCTATTCCTATAGTCCCCTGAAATAGTTGCTAAAAATCTAAAAATCTCTTTTCCCAACACCAGGGGGTGTCTTCTAGTCCTCTTTCTGTCCTACCCGGACGGTAGAGATGAGTCCCAACCCTCCTCCTCGTTTCTTTTGCATAGATACCAAAGCTCCTTCCTTCCCTACTTCGCAGAGCTTTGGGTTCAAAAAGTGGTGTCCTTTTATTGCAGTTTATATGTTGGGCTCTCATTCTGTCTGGACTTGCACAAATTTGCCTTTTTCTTAGTCTGCTCATCCTTCGGGCTGCGCACCACCCACGATCCCCTCCCTTTGCTCCGGCTCCCCCTTTCTTTCGCTACCTGTCTTCCACCACCTCTCTACGCGACCTTCCTCGCCCTTCTGGGCTCTTCACATTAGCGCCTCTGAACCTCTTTATGTATCTACCTTTTTTTCTCCCTGTCCCCCTCTTTATGGATCTCTCCCTGCTCACTACTTCTGTGCCAGTCTCTCTTCATCTCTCCCACAGTCCCCACAGTAGGAACAAAGTCACGATGTTTGCGCAGAACATGCCTCGCGTCACCCCTTCCCGGACCGCGACATTCCACCGTGCCCCTCCGCGCATTCCAACTGCAAACAAAGAGTTCCTCTCCCCCCTCCCCCACTTTTCCCGGTCCCAATTCCTGAGAGATGTAGTAGCAGCTGCCCAAACTGCCCCTCAGCCGCCTCTCGCCTCCAGTCGGCGGGTCTCCACGTCCAGGACAGTTAGCATCAGCAGCACCCACCCCCGCCGGCGTACGAGAGATCCCTGCGCTGACACCCCCGTTCCTCTCGCACACAGCGCTCCGCCCCTCCCGGAAAGTAGATCCGGCCAGGCAGACAAAAGTTTGGGAGAGAAGTTCGGTCTGTGCTGAGTGTGAGAGCGAGGGGGGCGGGGGCCGGGGAGAGTGGGGCGGCCGGGCGAGTGGACGCGTGAACAGACAGACCTGCGGACGGGACAGCCGCGGCCGTAGGCCCTTCTAGCTCCGCTTAACCCCTGATGCGCGGGGGGAAGCAGCCCCTCTCGCTGGGGGATGCTGCGGGATTCCCGGCGCCGGGCATCCGGGCCGCCGGCTAAACCCCTGTGCCTACCCCGTGCCCCCGGGGAACCGGAGTCCGGCCGCTGGGAAAGAGAAGCGGCCGCCGAGACGCTGCAGGGTGCCGGGCGGGGAGGGGGCTGGAGGCCCCAGGCCCGAGGGCATGGAGCGGTTAGGGGAGAAAGCCAGTCGCCTGCTGGAGAAGTTAAGGCTCTCGGACTCCGGCAGCGCCAAGTTCGGCCGCAGAAAGGGTGAATCTAGCCGGTCTGGGTCTGATGGGAGCCCCGGGCCGGGCAAGGGGCGCCTGAGTGGGTTGGGGGTTCCTAGGAAATCAGGGCCCCGTGGAGCTACTGGGGGACCCGGGGATGAGCCGTTGGAGCCAGCCCGAGAGCAGGGCCCCCTGGACGCTGAGCGGAACCCGCGCGGCTCCTTTGAGGCGCAGCGCTACGAAGGCTCCTTTCCCGGGGGGCCGCCTCCCACCCGGGCCTTGCCTCTACCTCAGTCATTGCCCCCCGACTTTCGGCTGGAGACCACGGCCCCAGCCCTAAGCCCCCGCTCCAGTTTCGCCAGTAGCTCAGCCAGCGACGCCAGCAAGCCGTCCAGCCCCCGCGGCAGCCTGCTGCTGGACGGGGCGGGGGCAGGCGGAGCCGGAGGTAGCCGACCCTGCAGCAATCGTACCAGCGGCATCAGCATGGGCTACGACCAGCGCCACGGCAGCCCCCTGCCCGCCGGGCCCTGCCTGTTTGGCCCTTCCCTGGCTGGAGCTCCAGCGGGCTATTCCCCTGGAGGGGTGCCGTCCGCCTACCCGGAGCTCCACGCTGCCCTGGACCGACTGTGCGCTCACCGGCCCGCGGGGTTCGGCTGCCAGGAAAGCCGCCACTCCTATCCCCCGGCCCTGGGCAGCCCCGGAGCTCTAGCCGGGGCCGGAGTGGGAGCGGCAGGGCCCTTGGAAAGACGCGGGGCGCAACCCGGACGACACTCAGTGACCGGCTACGGGGACTGCGCCGCGGGCGCCCGATACCAGGATGAGCTAACAGCGTTGCTGCGCCTGACGGTGGGCACGGGAGGGCGAGAAGCCGGCGCCCGCGGGGAACCCTCGGGGATTGAGCCGTCGGGTCTCGAGGAGCCGCCGGGTCCGTTCGTTCCAGAGGCTGCCCGGGCCCGGATGCGGGAGCCGGAGGCCAGAGAGGACTACTTCGGTGAGTGAGAAGTGGTTAGGGACGGGACGGGACCCGTCACCGCTTTCGTTCCCCACTGCCCCGACGGCCCAAATTGCCGGCGCCGGGAAGTCGGAGGCGGAGACGCGGAGCTAGAAAAGAGAAAAGAGGGATTTCCCCTTCCCACCAGGTCTCAAATGGACCAGGGGTTCTTTATTCCTGCTACTCTCGACCCCCCTGATTATCTCGTGAGTCCCAGTTGAAGCTTTAGAGCCTCCGTTTTTCGTGGTAGGAGGCCTCGTCGGGAGGGGACCAAGTGGGGAGTGAGAGCATCCCCCCATTCTGCCCCCCCCGCTTGGCGGCGGTGCCCCTGCAGGCTTCTGCGCGCCGCGCCCCCACCCGGGCCCAAGCTCCGCCCGCAGGAATTCGGGGAATGCGCGGGTGGGGGGCGGGGCGGGCGGGCCGCGTGCGTGCCGGCTCCTGCCCGGGCACTCCAGGTGCCCGCGGGCGGGGCCGGCCGCGCGGCGCGGGGCGGAGGGTGGGGTGCGGTGGGGCGGGGTGTGTGGTGGGGGGGTGCTGTTTGCTAACACGCGCGGAGCCGTGGCCGCGGTCGGGGAAATGGAGCCTGGGAGGGAGGGTGAAGCGCTCTGGGACGGAAAGCAGGGACCCTGCCGCCGGCTCGTCCCAGTCCTGCTGGCTTGCTGCGTGCGTGGGCATTTAAGCGGAGACCTGGTGGTGTCCGCTTCTACTTTCCCCATCCTCCGGAAGTCAGGGCAGAAGCCGTGACCACCTGGACACTAGCATCCCTAGCAGGTTAACGACCCTGTGTAACTGCCAGGAATAACCTGGCCTTCAGTTTGGGCCACAACCTGCTCAGAATTCAGGCTAGAAATGGCACGTTATTTTCTGCCGCCGTTAGGGAAACCTGGTCGCTCGCTCTCTCCCGCACGCGATTACCTTTAAGGAGTATTGATTGATTATATGTCTCAGCTACCGGGGGATATTGGGATCTTGAAGGATCTTTTTAGCTAAGACCCACAGCCACCACTTCGTTATATAAAGAAATGCTAATACGGTGGGAAGAAAAGAAATGGAAGGCCTTGGGCCTCTCCTCACCTTTCCCACCATCCATGTTCCTGCCCTAGACCCCATGCTCTAGACCTCTATGGCTAGAAATGGGGAGAGGGAGAGGAACCTAGCCAGGGAGGGCAGGTTGAGGCGGAAGTTGAGAGGTAGCAGGGCTGCAGGCCAACAGGGCCCTCCCTGCCCCGTTCAACCCCAATCCTCCCATCCTAAGAGAGGAAAACCTAGAGTAGATGACGCTTTGGTCAAGGGAGACTAAGTGACCAAGTCCTTTTAGCAGTTTCCTTTTGGGGCCCATGAGAAGTGGCGGTTAAGGGCAAAGAAGTCTCTTTGGCCAAGCCATCAGAGTGAAAAGGAAGAAAGGAGCTTGGACAGAGTGCAATAAAATGGCAGGAAGAACCTAGGTGTGGATATGCTGGGTTAGAGGAGGCTAGGTGGACATGTCTGAGCAGTTTGCACCTGTCTTCCCATAATGTCCAAGGCTTCCCAAAGAAATGCTCTGATGGGCCCCCCTGGCATGGCAATCTTGGCTCAGTCTTATGGGCATTTTGACCCCAGAGGTAGAGGTTTTTTCTCCCTGAGAGTCAGGTTGCCTCCTCTGACAGAATTCCCAGCCTGACTGTACCCTCCTACTCTGGCCCCTGGGTAGGGGCCCTCTTCCTTGGCTCCAGCCTTGCCAGCTGCCAGAGGGTGGGAGCAGGACAGGCCTGGGCCCATCAGTCGCTGCAGCTGCTGCACGGGCTCCCAAGCCCCTGGGCAAAGACTGGGATGGGCCCCAACAGGCAAGGAGTATGGCAATGTGCCGAGGGGGAGAGGTGGGGCGGGGTGAGGCGGGCCCGTTGGGATCTGCTCCCCAAAGACAGGCCCTAGCCCTCACTCATGAGCCTGGAATTGGGGAGTGGAGGGAGGGAAGAACACACCCAGGAAAGGTGGGTGCCAGAGCCAGGTGTATGTATTTTAGGAGGGGGGGTGTCAGAGAAGAGCAGTTCAGCTCTATCCTTCCCGTGATAGATTTCAGGGAGACATTAGGGATTCTGTCACCCTTCCCCCACCTTCCTGTGCAACCTCCAGTGCCTGGAACACACCCTACATTCTTAGCAGCCACCTCCCCACAGGAGTCATGCTCACATGGTCCCCTCTGCATAGGGCCCTCTGCTGAGCCATATCCTTCTTTCCATCCTTGGAAACCTAGAGGTGTGGAGCAGTAAAAAGTCATTCTGTAGCCATATAGCAACTCGTTTTACAGATGGGGAAACTGAGGTCCCAGAGAGGCTTTCTAGGCCTCTAGGAGGCCACTGCTGGGCCATTATGGACTGGCATCTCTGACTCTTTGTCCCACACAGTGCAACGGGGGTCATACCCTTGCCTGTTAGTCTTTTCTCCCTGACAGAATCTGCACATTTGCAGGTCAAGGACCCTATTTTTGACTCTCTCCCAGTTTTCCACAGTATCAGGCACCATATTTTTGCCAGGCACAAAATAGATGCTCAGAAAATATCTGTTGATTAATCAGTAAACAGGGATGGGTCTGCTCAGCCAAGACCTTGCTGCATTCCGTTTCTCATTCTCCTCTCTTCCCAGGAGGGAGCCCATCAAAGGAAGTCTGGGACTGGTGGTCCTCTGGAACAATTAGGAAAGAGCAGTCAGGAAGGATCCTGAATCCCTGGTTTTGAGCTGGGGGTGTCGGGTGTGATGCTGACAACCTCTTCTCTCCCCTCAGGCACCTGTATTAAGTGCAACAAAGGCATCTATGGGCAGAGCAACGCCTGCCAGGCCCTGGACAGCCTCTACCACACCCAGTGCTTTGTCTGCTGCTCCTGTGGTGAGTGGACCCCTAGGCCTTGTGCACTGGCAGGCTGAGGCCTCAGGCACGCCCCACACGCATACACACTCTCAAGGGCCCCGGGAAAGCAGAGCTTGCGCCTCTTCGGGTCCCGCCCCCATGTGTCTGGTTGCCCACTACTGCCCCACCTGCCCTCCTCTGCCTCTCCAGCCCCCATGGTGGGTCTGCTTTCTGGGGTCAGCCCTCCCTTCCTCCACTCAGCCTCTTTTCCTCCCCTCTGTTCCTCCCTCTTTCTTCTGCCTCCTTGCTTGCCCAGCCTGGACTCCAGCCCGGCCTCCTCGGCCTCTCCTTGGTGGGGTTTGGTCCTGGGCAGTCTGAGTTGCCTGGGGCGACAGTGAAAGACTGGAATGTGGGAAGGGTGGGGGTGGGCTGGGGGAGTGGGGAGCCCTGGGGGGCGGAGAGAGGGGGTTTTCTCTTGGCTGGTCAGAGTTCAGCCACCTCGCTGGAGTGCAGGCCACAGGGCCATGCCAAGCTGATGACATCACGCTCCAGGAATGCCCGCCACTGTTAGCTCAGGAGGCCCGCCTGGGGGGGGGTGCTCCCAGCAGCTTCAACTCCCCAGCCCTTCCCTCACCTCCCTCATTACCCCTCCCCACTGCTTGCCCACTCTTGATTCCTTTGCTAAACCTTTAATCTCCTATCTCTGCCTGTCTGACTCCAGCACTCAGCTTTTCTCTCCCCTACTCCAGCCACCACTAGCACCCCCGCCCCCTGCCGCCCCCCACCTCTGCCTGGTTCTCTTAGGTTCCTCCATCTGTCTGTCCTGTGTATAGGGCCTCTTCTGGGTGTGCCTCTTTCCCTCTCTGTACCCGCGCTGTGTCTCATGAGTTTCTAAGTCAGCTTTTCCAAACCATTGGGCAGAGGTAGAAGAGATTTTGATCAGAAGAGGGCAGAGGAGGTGGCACACTTGCCTGTTCTCCACCCTGGGTCTCACTCCTCCCCTCTCCCTGACAATTTAGACACCCTGGAGCAGTTCCTAAGTGTTGGTCACATGCCTTGTCTGCTCACAGAAGATCCTGGATTCTCTGGGTTCCTCTAAGCTTGGGGGAGCAGTCTAGTGCAGGGGGGAAGGGAAATGACTTTGCTCCCAAGCAAAGCACTTTGTCCCCAACAGTAATGCCAATATTTCCTGACCTCTACTGAGCCTGTCCCTGGAAGAAGACAGACAGGGCTAGGAGAGCAGGATGGCTGTGCATAGGCAGAGGCCCTTCGGTTGGAAGGTCCCAGAGGGCAAGGCCTGCAACAGAGCGACCCCCACCCTGGGCATTGGATGGCACCTTGTTCAGAGCTCCTTCACCTTGCACCCCAGCCTGGGGTTGGCTTTGCTCTCCCTGGTGGCTCCGCATGCACTGGATAGGAAGGCACTCATCGAGGGAGGGCGGGATCCTAGAAAACTGTTGAGGCAGGAACTGGAGGAGCAGCGAGCAGAGGAGAGGGGAAGTTGGCAGGAATGAGACCAAAGTAAATTGGAATTGCGCCAGATGGGATTTTTGTGTAGAGAGGGAGGACACACAGCAGTGAGGAGCACGGGCACTGAAGTCCAGGTTTAAATACGTCATGCGACATTGGAGAGCAGTGACCCTGGGGCGGGGACGCCCTGTACACGGACCCTGGGATGGCTCCAGTCCCTTGTCTGCTGCTTCTAGGGCGAACTTTGCGCTGCAAGGCTTTCTACAGCGTCAATGGTTCCGTGTACTGTGAGGAAGATTATCTGGTGAGTGAGGGGTCCCCCGGGCCTGGAATGGCTCCCATGCTGGGACCCCCCCTTCTTGGCGGCTCACTGGGGTTCCACCCATCAGGTCGTTCTCTACTTGTAATATCCTCCCTTGGTCTTTTCTTTGTCCCTAGTTTTCAGGGTTTCAGGAGGCAGCTGAGAAATGCTGTGTCTGTGGTCACTTGATTTTGGAGAAGGTAAGCAAAGTGTCGTCAGCTGAGACTCTCTGAGGCTGGTGGAGCTGATGGGTAGAACCAGGGTCTAAGTGGGTACTAAGGAAAGGTGGAGGGAGGAACCCTATCACTGCATGAGTCGCTTTCCTCTCATTCTTCCCCAGAGCAACTGTTTACAGTGGCTTCCCTCTGCCGGTGGGGTCAAGTCTGGACCCCCAATCCTGCCATCCCCAAGCCTGTGTGATCTGGTCCCTGCCTCATTCTGCACGCACAGCCAAGCTAGGAGTGCGGAGTCCTGGGTCTTAATCCCCTTCCTGCTACTGGTTGGGCTCGGTTAGAACTCAGGGTTGTTGTTGGGTTTTTTTTTTCCATATGAAGGAGGAATAGGATTAGATCGGTCCTCAACCCTAGCAGATCACCTGGGAAGAAGTAAAGAATATGACCAGTGCCTGGGTCGTCATCAGAGATTGTGATGAAAACTTCTGGGGTGAGGCCCAGGCATTGATGGGTTTTACAAGCTCCCCCGGTGATCCTAATATGCAGCCTGGGGCTCGAACCACTGGCCTGGCTGCTCTCTATGACCGTTTTCAAGGTTTCTGCCTATTTTTTGTTTGTTTGTTTGTTTGTTTAAGATTTTATTTATTTATTTGACAGAGAGAGAGATAGCGAGAGCAGGAACACAAGCAGGGGGAGTGGGAGAAGCAGGCTTCTCGCTGAGCAGGGAGCCCGTTGCGGGGCTCGATCATGGGTCCTGGGATCCTGACCTGAGCCGAAGGCAGCCGCTTAATGACTGAGCCACCCAGGCGCTCCCCCTGCCTCTGTTTTAAGAGTCCTAGGCCCCTCAGATTACATCGCATTGTTCTGGGAGGAGGGCAGGGAGTTGGATGAGGTTGGGGGGCAGTGGGGAGCACCATGGGTAGCTGGAGAACCGAGACCAGAGGGAGACTGATCGATTCTCCTCCCACCCCGTGAGCCAGATCCTGCAGGCCATGGGGAAGTCCTATCACCCAGGCTGCTTCCGATGCATCGTTTGCAACAAGTGTCTAGATGGCATCCCCTTCACAGTGGACTTCTCCAACCAGGTGTACTGTGTCACTGACTACCACAAGTGAGTCTGCCCCCCTGGGATGTGGTGTGGAACTGGCCTCGGGGGTTCCCCAATCTCAGCTCCTCTCTCTCGGCCCTCTCTTTTTCAGAAATTATGCTCCTAAGTGTGCGGCCTGCGGCCAACCCATCCTCCCCTCGGAGGTCAGTATGTCTGGGTTCTCCTGTGGGGCAGCCAGTGCCACTGCCCCTGGGAAGGGGATGGGGACATACGGCCCGGCTTCCCGCGGGAGGCGGTGGTGCTGAGGAATGTACTCTGAAGATTCCCGTGTGACTCTGCTCTCAGGGTCACCACCCTGACCCTAACATCCGGGCCTGGACATGTCTGACAGCCTCACTGGGCCCAGGCTTCATCCCGTCTCTCCCAGTCCAGAGGAGGAGACTTCCTTTCTTTGAGGTCAGGGTCACCAGATCCCAGATGTAGGGGCTAGAAAAAGGTGGGAAGAATCCTCAGGGCTGGTAGGAAGATGTCGGCAATGATTTATGCTATGTGTGCTACACGTTTGCCTAGGGAGAGAATCCAAAAGCCAGTGAGGAGCCAGACCCTACTGGATCTCCTCGTCCCCAGCCTAGCTTACTTTACTTGGGCTGCCTGCCCCTCTTCCCTCCGCACAGCTCGGAGAGGTGGGTAAGGCCAGAGCTGCTGGACGGAGGGAAAACTGTGAGAGGACGTGCCCTCCTGGAGGCAGCACCAAGGAAGGGGAGGGGAAAGCTCTAGGGGGACTTGCAGAGGCCACCTCAAAGCTGCAGACGATTGCAGAGCGCTCTCTCTGGAGACCCTCCATGTGATCTTCGCACTGGGGTGGGAAGGGGCCCGTAGCGGGAGGGCAGAATCGGGGTTGTCATGCTACGCTCATCCCATGGGGTCTGCATCATTTCAGGGCTGTGAGGACATTGTGAGGGTGATTTCCATGGACCGAGATTATCACTTTGAGTGCTACCACTGTGAGGTGAGTGCTAGGAGCCAGGGCTCCTGGAGGAGAATCTGGAGCAGGGGAACGGGGCTGGGGGAAGGGGCGTGTGTGTCCCTGGACTGCCCGAGTCTGTAGGAGAGGTCTGAGGCATGGAAACCAGGAAGGTGCTCCGCCCCGTCCCCAGTAGCTCTCCTGTCCTCCCGTCCTCCCATCCTCCAGCCAGGCTCTCTGCTCCGGGGGGTTTAGTCCTTTCTGCATCTGGCTTCCCCAGAGGCAAGACTAAACTGGGGAGTCCTGGTAACCCCTGCAGATGGGAGGCCGGCTCATTATTTCTGCTGTAGCAGCGCCACCTGCTGTCCCGCTGAGGTACTTTCTCGGGCTTCTCCTCCGGGAGTCCATCGCTTCCAACCCCCCCCCTTTCTTCCAGTCCTTAGGAGGCTGGTGTGGAGCAGGGCAGACTCCCGACATGTCCGAGGTGCCCGGGCTGAGGTCAACTAGGTGTCCTTCCTCCCTAGGACTGCCGGATGCAGCTGAGTGACGAGGAGGGCTGCTGCTGCTTCCCTCTGGATGGGCACTTGCTCTGCCACGGCTGTCACGTGCAGCGGCTCAGTGCCCGACAGCCCCCTGCCAACTATATCTGAACTGCGGTCCCCGCTGCTGCCTTCGCCACCCCGGACAAGTTGCTCTGGCCAGAGGGCCCCTCTGAGGCCAGCTGAGGCCAGGAACGTGCTCCCAGGTCAGGCAGAAGAGTCCTCTGGGCAGGGCCCCACGGGCCAGAGACCCAAAGATACGACATTCCAGATGGACTGTGGAGAAGGACCCTTCCGCTTGCCACGGTGGGGTGACTGGCTTGCTTCCCGTGTGCACAGCCTGAGCTGTAGCAACACTCGGGCAGGCAGGTTCCAGGACTTTCTAAAGGTCTGATTTTAGTCTGTATCTCCAGTATCCGTTTATGCACAGGTCAGGCAATGTTCTGGCTTTGGATTATAGGAAGAGAGGACATTATGAACACTCCTCACTCTTTTGCACCCCTCACGTGGGTCAGATACGGGGTCAGCAGGTTCTTACCACAGTATCTTATCTCTGTATCTGGATGAAGAGGTGGAGACTGGACCTTATTCATGAGTTGTTTCTTGGTGACCTTCTCTCTAAGGACCAGGAGAGCCGCTCACCCCTGTGCTGGGAAGCGGGGGCAGCTCGGGTGGACCTGCTGCCTGTGTTGCATGTCTCTCAGGGACTCACGTGGGCCTGGGAAGGCCGGGTGGGTGCCTGTCCTGGGTTCCTCTTCTCCTCGGCTCGGGGAAGTAACGAGTGGGCCTTTGGGGGTGCAGGAGGCCTCAGGCTAGGCCACGCGCCCAGGTGCGGGCGCACGGAGCCCTCTAGCCCACCGTACACACGCAGAGGCACACTCGCTCTCTCACTCCCTTCTTCTCAGGACACTGTCATCCCCGTCCCCTCACAGGAGCCCCCCACTCCAGACCTGCCACCCTGCAGAGGGATCCAGGATTCCAGCCACTGCAACTCCCAAGCCCTGAGGTTCTGGGGAGCCAGAGGGGTGACACGCTTTGACCTGGCTCTAGTCCGTTTGGCTAAAATTGGTCCCTTAAAGCCAATTATGGAACACTTACACCCTTCAACTTCACTGGTTTTTTTTTTTCAGTGCAGAAAGGACGGTTTTATTGAAAGCGCGGGGACAGGACCCATGGGCAGAGAGAGCTGCCAAAGTTTACATCACTTAATGACCAGTTTGCCAAAAGCTCGGTTCCATCTGGGGAACCGTTTAGGTGTTCACTTAGGTGTTCTATTATGTTTTGGGTGTTTTAAGGATTTATATCTATTCCTCCAACAGTACTTCTGAGTTACTGTCAACATAAATTTATCAAATTTGCAGCACTTTGTAAATGAAATTGTTTCCTACTTTTACGGACATCTTTTCCTATGTTATCTACTTTTCCAACATTTTTCAAAAAAGTTTAAAGTTCCTAGCAATAAATATAATTAATTGGTACAGACATTTTGTGTATCATTTTTTGTGTTTCTTAATCTAATATCCCTTTACAAATTAGATGCCTTGGAAAACGTAATGGAGCTCATATGATTTTGATGCTTTGGCCTAACTTCTACATTCCTGCTGTTAAAAATGCCAATGTATTCTAAACAAATGAAAAAGCATGTGGCATATTCAGTTGGCTAACAATTAAAGGTTACATAGACAAGAGCAATAAAAAGTGAAAGGGTGACTCTGCTAAATCCTTTTGAAATGCTGCAGATTTGATAAATATTTGAGACTAATTGTCTCTAGGTGAGTTGGTTTTAGGCAAATTAATCTGATAATCTTTGATCCTTAGTCTTCATTCTTTGTCACTAAGAGTTTCATACTGGAAATGGTGACTCCTGAGAACAGAAATTCCGCATTTAGGGGTTATTCTAAGGTGGCCGTGTCAGCCACGCTGGGGTCGCAGAGAAGAGGCCTGTGCATGAGGGTATGATTGAGAGGAAGAGCTCACATTCATACCACTGACTGCCGGAGGAGATGCACTTTTGGAGTGATAAATGTTCTGAGACTAGATAACTTGGTCTACAGCTGGATTGCTTCTTCTGAATTATTATTATTATTAAATAAGTGAATACAAAGACTCTGACTGGGCAGTTTTCTCACCAGGCCGCTCCAGGACTGGGAAATCCAGGCAAGCACGTATAACTTTACATCCATCCTTTCTTTGACTCTTGGGGGTCGTGTCCGCTCCGACCCTTCGTTTCTAACTCTGATTTCAGCCTCCCATCTGTTGCTGACTGGCTGATTCCTTTCTGGGTCTATGCTCATCTGTGCCAGCCCTGGGGCTTCCCAAGACTTCTTGACACTGAGGCTACTTTCTCCTTCCTTCTCGAGGAAAAACAAGTTCTAACATCTGATGAGGACAGGCCCAGGGAAGGCAGACCGTGGCAGTCTCCCAAGTGTGCCCTGCATTGCAAGAGTTTGCCTTCTTCCTGTTCGCTGGGAGACTGCTCATCCTTAGTCGTTCTGTTTCATATCTATAACTGATAGATTCCTGGGGCACTGCAAAGGATACAGCAATAAGTAGACCTTGTTTGGCCAACTAACCACCTGATTTTCATCAGCAGCCACTAGGCCTGAGATGGGGAGAGGGGGAAATGGAAGATTTACAGATCCATTTTGTGTCTCTAGATGAGAATCACGGTATAGGGGCCGACTTCGGTTGTTTGCTCTGGTCAGCCCTGTTCACCACAGGCCTGAATGTGGTTTGTGAAGAATAAGGCTGGTGGTGGTTCTCTCTCTGCCTCACTCCTTAGAGACCCGTTTCCCCCTTCACCACCTGGAGCTCTCTAGGCCAGGGAGATGGTAAGATTCCATTTGTAATCAGGCTGGAGACTGTCCTCAGTCAAGAAAGTAGAGAAAGCTATTTTCAGGCACGTAAAGCCAGCTGGAGGAGGTCCTTGAGATTGTACCTATAAAGAAGGGATAACAAGAGAGAAAGGAGACTGATAGAACTGAGACAAAAGGATTGGAAAAACCAGTGAGCAAAAGCATTTTGTTGTTTAGAAGGATCCAGACCCCAGAGTGGGCCTGGGGTCATTCAGAGCCCTAATGTGAGGGGACTCCATGGCAAGGGCAACCTCTGTCCTCTTCATTCTCCCTCCCAGCCAAGGAAGACCTAAGACGGCCTCTGCCATGCCAATTACTGGTATAGAGCCCTCGGGATATCCACACTTGGCCCTGGTTGTGAAGGACTGAGGCTTGACCTTGGAAACAAGAGCAAACTGTCATTGGGATGGATGGATTAGAGCAGTCTAACTGGTGTTTGAAGAGTCGTCCAAGGCAGATTCTGTCCACCTAGGCTTAGAAAGGACAGCACTGCCCCATGTGAAAGGGAGCCAGGGAGCTATACAAGCAGGGAGACATGGCTTAGGAGGAACATCCAAAAGGTGCAGGTTCGACTCGTATGCTTAGAGCCGAGTGGGGTGTGACTTTAGAGAGAACCCAGTGACCTCATTTTACCAAATGAAGAAACAGAAACAGTGATAAGGGCACTTACCCAAGGTCATGCAGCTGGAAAATGACTTTCCTGCTTTTGAGGACTAATAGAGAGCTTCTTTCCCCTCTTCCCTCCCACTCCAGCCCTCATCCTCATCACAGGGACTCCCACAGCACAAGTAAACTGTAAATTAGATCAACCCTTCATTATGATAAATAACTAGGGAAAGTTTTAGTGGGAAAGCCAGGGAATCCAGGAGACAATAAAAGCACGTTAGGAGAAGCAAAGGAAAGACGCTGCAGGAGAGTCCCTGCCCTTGAGGAGGTCACCGTCTAGCCAGGGAGACAAATACACACATCAAGTGTCTGAGAAGATTACAAGCAACATGTCACCAAGTGCAAAGTAATTGAGTATCACAAACAAAAGACCTAATGCTGCAGGGGACAGATGACAAGGGGGAGACTTTGTTGGACTTACACTGTGGATCAGAAGGTGGCGGCCCATAGACAAATCCTGCCCCCAAATGCATTCTTTGGCCCGCTGGGAGTTATTTTTCATAATATTAATTTGAACCCTCATTGAGGAGGGGGGAAAGGCCAGCTAACAAATGTAGAAAGAATGACAGAATTGGAAGAACAGCATTTTGTGAACTTGAATACCTGACTGATCCTGGCAAAGATTATTGGAGTTAAAACGATAAGTGAAACGGTTGGTGGACAACTGGACATTGTCAAGTAGCCTCTCAGCACATGGTCTTGGCATCACCCTTTCCTGCAATGGGTCTTGGTGTCACTAACCAGTCGACCAGTTCTGGTGTGAGGCAAACAGAACCCAACCTAGTGTATAGTCTAGCTCCACCCCGCCGCCCCCCACCGCCCCCCGAGGTGTTAGATAGAGCTTACAGTTTACACGCCATGCCAGGAACAGAGAAAGTAAAAGACGCTAAGAGGAAGCAACTAGACAAACTTAGGAAGGGAGGCGTTCTGCAGGACAACTGGCTAACTCTCTTCAGCAAGTCAGTATGATTTTTTTTTCTTCCTTTTTTTTTTTTTTAAACTTAAATTCAATTAGGCAACATATAGTACACCATTAGTTTCAGGGGTAGAGTTCAGTAATTCATCAGTTGCATATAACACCCAGTGCTCATCACATCAAGTGCCCTCCTTAATGCCCATCATCGTTACCCCATGCCCCCACCCACCTTCCTCCAGCAATCCTCAGTTTGTTTCCAAGTCAGTATGATCTTCAAAAAATTCAAAACTGCTAGATTAGAGAGACTTAAGCTATCTAATAATGATACAATGTGTGGTCCTGGATTCCCTATTGGTTTAAGCAAATTGCTATGAAAGATATTTGGAGGGGCGCCTGGGTGGCTCAGTCGGTTAAGCGTCTGCCTTCGGCTCAGGTCATGATCCCGGGGTCCCGGGATCAAGCCCCGTATCAGGCTCCCTGCTCAGCGGGGAGTCTGCTTCTCCCTCTCCCTCTGCCTTCTGCTCCCCCCGCTTGTGCTCTGTCTCTCTCTGTCAAATAAATAAATAAATAAATAAATAAATAAATAAAAACTTAAAAAGGAAAAAAAGATATTTGGAGTCAACTGGAAAATTTTTTTATATGGACAAGGAATTAGATGAGGTGAAAGTTTACTGAGATGGAAAGGTCAAAATCATTAACAAAATGCCAGTTACGAAACCAGTACAGGGGACTTGTGTTTTGTTTCCAAAGTGTCTATATATGTATGGAATAAAAAAGAACTGAAAGGATATGCATTAAGGTGTTAACAGTGGTGATCTCTGAGTGGGAGAGTATGTTTTATTATTGTTGGCCTACATTTTCTATTTTTATACAATGCACGTGTCCTGCCTCTGTAGTAATAATAAGCCGTTGCAAATAAAATAACTGGTTGCCAATATTTACAATTCAGGAGATTTCACATAAAAATCTGGATATTGTATATGAAGAGTGGGATTTCTAAGGTTTTTTGAATAATCAGAAGATCTGTCACACACACCCCCCTTCCAGTCTCACAAGACAGCAAGTATTTGGAACCAAGCGATGGCTGCTGCTCCTTTATTGGGTGTATGGTCTCCTTTCATTTGTCATAGTCCCTACCACCCTGTGTGCTTCACACACCGCTTACCTGCCTGGTTTCTGTAGACTTTTGATGATTTGGATGATCCTGATGGGCTCCCCATCCATAGAGCCTCCCATTAGTAATCATTTGAAGGTATTAATAAATTAGTTTTGAAATGCTGCCCAAGAAAAGCATCCATTCCAGAATTAACTATGGCTGGGTTTTTTGTTGTTGTTGTTGTTTTAAGATTTATTTATTTATTTGAGAGAGCGAGAGAGAGCGTGACTAGTGGGAGGGGCAGAGGGAGAGGGAGAATCTCAAGCCGACTCCCCGCTGAGTGTGGAGCCCCACTCAGGGCTCGATCTCATGACCCTGAGATCATGACCTGAGTTGAAATCAAGAGTCAGATGCTTAATTGACTGGAGCCACCCAGGCACCCCCTATGCCTGCATTTTTTATAAGGCTACCTAGTCATGGGAAATCCAGATGTAATACTTAATCTACTTAGCTGCCATGGTTGCATACTTGCATACTGTAAATTAGTTTAGCAAAATTTTTTCCTTGGTAAATGGAATTTAGAAAGTATACTAAATCGCTAACTTCCTCAAGGTTTTGCTTTTTTTTAATTAATTAATTAATTAATTAATTTGCCATAACACCTTAATCTTAAGAGGCATTTCAAAATTTATAATGTATGTTCTTCCCAAGCATGAAACTCCAAATGCCCTTTGGTTGGTCTGTTTCTCCCACTGGTTCTGATACAGTTTTTATTTTATTTTATTTTATTTTAATTTTTTTAAAGATTTTTATTTATTTATTGAGAGAGACAGTGATAGAGAGCATGAGAGGGGGAGAGCAGAGGGAGAAGCAGACTCCCTGCCGAGCAGGGAGCCTGATGCGGGACTCGATCCAGGGACTCCAGGATCATGACCTAAGCCGAAGGCAGACGCTTAACCAACTGAGCCACCCAGGTGCCCCCTGATACAGTTTTTAAAGGAGGAAATCTCTTTCATATGCAACTCAATATAAGATAGTGTCATCATCAGTTTAAAATCCAGGGAAATACTTTTATCAGCCTGGCACATGTTTTCTCATTACAACAACACACTCAATCCTTATAACAAGAACTGCACACATTGTGCCTCATGTCTAACTTTTCAAAATGATACTAGTCTTCTTCTTCTGAATCAATTTCCTTTACTGTCTCATATTCCTTTGGTAAAAATTGTTTCAATCTGTCCCATTTTTTGAGCCAAATTTCTCAGCTTCTCTTTGAGATCCAAAATGTCCTATCAGGCCTTATTTATATACTAGTTCACAGTGGTGTCTCAAAGTAAAACCAGGCTCATTTCAGTTTGTATAACAAAAGTTTCCATGAAGAGACAGGCAACCCTTGAAGCTACGAGGGGGCTTGGTTTGAAATCCCCTTGGAATGGTTAAGCAATTGAAAAATGGCACATTATGAACATTTGTTCTAAAATTTTCATTTGATGTCATAGGTTGATTACATATTTTCTTTATCCACTTGTTTCCTCCTTAAATCATGTACTTACAATGGGCATGGAATTTCCTAGCTTAATCATCAGTAGTTGTGTCTCTGAATACCTTCATTTTCCAGTGAACACCCGTGAAAATAATTCTAAAACCTCGGGACTGCCTGTAAATTTCATTCCTGAAACTAGTTTCTGGATCCATAATGCAAATATATTCTTGCTACTTGTCTTCGGATACTTTCAAAGTGGTATGGCTTTTTTCTTTTCTTTTTTAAATTTTCTAAACGATCCCTTGGTTAAGTGTGGTTCCACAGTCCACCTGCTATTTTAACATCCTGGCTTTGAAACTGGTTATTTAAGCCTAAATTTTCCATGTGAGACCATATTCTACTTGAAACTTTCCATTAGTTTGATAAATAGAATATGTACTAAATACTCATCTGAAATTTCTTTGTGGCACCATTTTGTTTCCCCAGCTAGAGTGTGGGAGGCAGAGTCCTTCCAGGTGCTCTCAGCAAATCTCCATTCTTCTCTGTAATTCCAAACAATGCAGCAAAGGAATGTCCAAGTCTGAAAGGTTAAGTAAACTTTTTCTCAGGCTCCCATTTACATTTATCATCAAGTTAAAAACATACACGTTAATGTTTTTTGAATACTTGGTCAAGAGCAATGTCTTCAAGAAAGTAGAGCTAGATTGTGGGCAGGAGTTATGCCTAATTTATCTTTCTACACCCTCCCCCACAACTCCCTGCAGGAATCTAGCTCAGGAATACTTTTGGGCATGTTCTTGGCTTTATCATTAAAGAACATTTAAGACGTGAGTGATTGTATTTTGCATATGGCATAGCAGAATGTGAGATGAACAACACTGATGAAGAGACAGGCCTATAAAGGTCAAGCATTCCACTGAACAAACAAAACTATATAAAGAATTAGCATTGTGGGGGTGGCCAAAATTCACTCCTGCAACAAATAAGTGCCTCCGTATGCCAAGCACCGAGATAGGTAACCTAGGGTTATGAAGGAAACACCCCCTTAACTACAAACCCAAACAAATGAAAGTTTTAAAGAGGATTCTGTACTACTTCTCAGCAGTAAAAAAGACATGAACTAAAAGGGGCGCCTGGGTGGCTCAGTTGGTTAAGCGACTGCCTTCGGCTCAGGTCATGATCCTGGAGTCCCGGGATCAAGTCCCGGGATCGAGTCCCGGGATCGAGTCCCGCATTGGGCTCCCTGCTCAGTGGGGAGCCTGCTTCTCCCTCTAACTCTCCCCCCGTCATGTACTCTCTCTCTCTCATTCTCACTCTCTCAAGTAAATAAACAAATCTTTAAAAAAAAAAAAAAAGACATTAACTAAAAAAATGGATTATTGATACTAGTAACAACGTGTATGAATTGCAAAATTATGCTGAGTGAAAGAAGCCAGACAAAAAAAGAGTACATCTTTATTTGATTCCATTTATATGAAATTCTAGGGAGTGCAAACTAATCTATAGTGACAGCAGATCAGTGGTTGGGAGGGGCCCGAGAGAATTACAAAGGGGCACAAGTAAACATTTAGAGGATAATGCCTATGTTCACTATTTTGATTGTGGTGATAGTGTGTATAGTTAAGGTTAAAACTTAATGAATCGTACATATTAAATATTGTGTGTCAAAATACCTAATAAAAATGTTTTTGTGTGTGTGTTTGTTGTTATTCATTTTTATTTTTTTTTACTAATCTACACCCAACGTGGGGCTCGAACTCACAACCCTGAGATCAAGAACCCCACGCTCTTCCCACTTGAACCAGCCATGTACCCCTCTGTGCATGTTTTTTGTTTTTGTTTTTTAATCTGGGAGAGAAAAAAAAGGAGAGAAGGAGGGAGAGGGAGGGAGAAAGAGAATGAATTCTAGGGCTTCTCTGGCAAATCTTACTTGCTCCAGGACACCAGATGGTGTGTGATTGTAAGATCTTTTTTCAGTACTTTTCTGCAGTTTTTATTGCCAAGAAGGTCTATAGGTTCAGTGTTCTAGTGTTAGGTAGAACTGGCCTATATAGTCCCCTTCCCTTCAGCCAGTCCTATCTCCTCTTGAACCCAAGAGGCAGCTTGGACTCCCTGTCCCTGCCTCTGCTTGCTGGGATGTTTCCTCCATTTCTAAATGATCCAAATTTTCTCTCCTTTTAGGCCCAGTTAAGATAAGATTGATTTCATAGTCTTTCCTATCCATTCCTTCAGAAAGGGTTCTCTACCTTAGTTTAAGTTTCTCAAGTATGTATGTATGTATGTATGTATGTATGTATTTAGAAGATTTTATTTGTCAGAGAAAGAGAGAGAGAGAGTACACAAGCAGGGGGAGCCGCAGGCAGAGGGAGAAGCAGGCTCCCCACCGAGCAAAGAGTCTGGGACTGGATCCCGGGACCCTGGGGTCATGACCTGAGCCAAAGGCAGATGCTTAACCAACTGAGCCACCCAGGAGCCCAAGTTTCTCAAGTATTTATAATCTAAACTGCTCTTTTGACACATTTTTGCTGCCTTGAACTATTTGCTTTTCACGTGTGCATGTCTTAATCATCTCAACTGGATTATGAACTTCCTCAGGGTAGGGACTGGGTCATATTTATGTTTGTGTCTCTTAAGGCACTTAGTACGTGCTCAGTAAGTGTCAATTTTAAAATACCTCACTTTGATAGTCTTTCCAAAGCACTTTCTCAGCCATTATCTCATTTGATCATTACCTCAACACTCCGAGATTGGAGGAGCTAGAAATATGTTATTTCCTCCTTCTGACAAATAAGGAACCTGAAGCCCAAGGTCACCGAGAGACAGAGAGAGAGAGAAAGAGAGAGAGAAAGGGATGGAACAGATAACTGCATATGAAGGTTTGATTCAATTCAAGGCTTCCCATGGCTCTCCCCCTCTCCTCCGCTCTACCCTACCTGAAGACAGGCCTCTGCACCTTTCTCCCATTCCCCAAGTCCTTTAGAGCTGCTTAGACAAAGCTTATAGTACCCTCTTATAAAACCTGACAAATATGAGATATGAAATTTCAGTCGATTTCTGATCAGCTCTGAGTCACCAAAGCACGTTTGCTATTTTGTTCCAAGTATCATTTGTTAGGAACATTATGCCTGATATTTAATGATGCTGCACTACAGAGCTGAGGAAGCATAAATGATTTTTAAAAGCCGTAGAAAATGACAGGACTTTAATATTAAGCACAAAAGGTGGCAGCTGACAAGATGACCAGGGATATAAAATTTCTGCACTGGATCACACTATTCCTCTATGTATTCCTAGTAGAACTCTCTAGTTGGTACTAAAGGAAAAGATGAAGCTCTCTACCGCTCTGCATGCTTGACCGAGATTCCTTCCCCACCACCCCAGACTATCAGCTTCTCTGTTGCAAGAGATTGAAGAAACTTGGTGTAATTTACTTAGTATCAAATATTACTTTTGAGATAATTCACTTAATGACTACATTCCAGTCCACTTTGAAAAGAAGGTGGGAGTGGTGTCAGAGGTAGTTGTCCCCCTCCTCCCATGCAACTCCTGCTGGGACCCCTCATTGGCTGAAAGCAGTCAGAGAATATGGAACCCTGAAGTACTTACTGGTCTAAATAGGGTGTCAAAAAGCAGAATGTGCATCTGGGGGGCAAATGGAAGACATCTAGCTCATTGGTCTAGAGATGGCAGGTGACCCAGTCTGGCCCATGAGACATATGGGAAAGTCTGCTGGGTACTTTGGGAAAGGTTTTCTTCCCTAACTGAAGGCTCCTCCCCTTCCTTCCTGCTTGGGATGCTGTTGAGTTGGATGTACTCCTTGGATTTCTGCAGCTACCTTGTGCTCATGAGGGAAATGCAAAGAGAACTGCAAAGAACCTTGACCACAGAGCTACTAAAAAGCTTTGGGACCTCCAGCTCCAGACTTAATTGTTAAGCAAACAATAAATGCCCCTATGGTTTAAAAAGGAGGCAGGGAAGGTGGGAAAGAGGGAGGGAGGAAGAGAGCACAAGTGAGAGCCTGAGCGAGCAAGCGAGCTGAATGAAGGATGAGGGAAAATGGAGAGGTTAGAGGAGCCTGGGGCAGGAAATTAGAGAAGCTGACCCAGGGGGCTGCGCCAGAATGAGGAGACTGACAGGCTCCGTGTGGGCGGCAGGTCTGGGAGGGTTCAGAGGGCCACTGGGTCAGGTTTAAACGCTGTGAACTGCGACCTCAAACAAGTACTTAATTTCTTTGCGCCTTAATTTTCCCCTCTGTAAAATGGATTTCATGATAGTGACTTCCTCATAGGACGCTGTACGAATTTACACGAGATCTAAATGAGGAATGGCAAGAAAACCTTTGCTTGACAGTTCCTGACCCACTGGAGGCCCTCAATAAATATTAGCAATCAAAACCATTTTCTCAACATTTGCCCTCAACAAGGGGGAGGTACTCGGGCAAACGGGCCAAGAGGCCTTCCCGGCTCACACCCTAAAGGCTGGGTTCGCCGGCGGTTGACGACCGAGGGCTCGCGCTCGGCGGGGGGCGGGGCCTGGCGTTCCCGCCTCGAGCGTGGCCCCGCCCCTCTTCCCTTCTCACGAGGCCTCGCGTGCACTTTGAGCCTTTTCCCCACCTCCCCCGACCTTCCCGCGCGGTCCTCCCGGGCATCTCTTCCCCCAGCCCCAGCGCCCGGCCCGAGTGAGAGGTTCCGGAGCCCGGGCGCGGCCGGGGTCCCGGTGTCGACGCTGCCGGCCAGCCCGTCCCAGCCCGTCCCAGCCCGCTCCGCACGGCCGCGGGAGCTTCAGCTGCCCTCTGGTGTGCAGGTTTGCCTCGGAGGGTCGGCGGGCCGCGCTGCGGGGAGGAGGAGTGCGGGGAGGGTTAGTGCGGCCGCCGCGGCCGCCCTCGCCCTTGGGAATCCTTGGCTGACCAGACGGAAGGGAAGTAGGCGCCGGAGAGCCCGCTCCGCATTTTGATTCATCTCGGGCCCTGTAAGGGTCACATCTTGTGAAAATACCTGTAAAATCAATTTAACGTTCAGTGCAGCGTGTAAAGACAGCTCTAAGAATTTAAAAGACGCCTGAGTCAGAACATTTAAATGCTTGGGTCCCCTGTAGCAGCGTTTTAACACGTCTGAGTGCAGAGGGTGGAGAATCGAGCCTGATTGCCGCCTTCGTTCACGCCCTGTAACATTTTAAAAGGGTGAAAGAAAGGCACTCCCAAGAAAACCCAAGGGGGCAGTTCCCCTAGAGAGGGAAGAACAGCTGACTTTTGGAAATCTGTGTTGGTCCTCATTTCCGTGTGCGAAATTTGCCTGCAGAACTTAGATCAACGATAAACAGAATTGTTAAAACACTGGGCTTAACTAACTAGTGGTTTTTGTTGACAAGTCGATTGTGTTATTAATTCTTGGTGTCTCAGCCAAGGCAGGATTCATTATCTCCGTTTTGCAGGTGGAAAAAACTTTGGCACAAAAAAAATTTCCCTTAAATTTACACAGAAGGAACTGCAGAGCTGCAAATTAAGTTTTAGCATTCCGACTCCTCATCTGTGTTCCCCCCTGGACCATGTTACAAAATAAACGAGTACTTTGATGCTACTCATAAAACGAGGGAGTAAACCAAATGTTCTGTGAACTTAAAGTGTTAAATCATAATAACCTTCAATGTCTTCTGCTTTGGGAGACTCAGCTGCCCTTTGGAGTTGATACCTTACAGAGAGGAGTGGGTGGAGCAAAAAAAGAAAAGAACGTCAAGGGAAAAATTTAGTCTCCAGAGTCCACAAACTGTGCCCATGTTTACTGCCCCTTTGTGTTGATGTCATACTTTTCGGTGTACTCCATGTTCTGGCAAAACACCCGACAGCTGCCATCCCGGTCTTAGCTGCATTAACTACACCTTTGTGTTGCTCTTTTGGCACTGACCTCCCTGTCAGTCTTGTCATGCTCTTTCCTCCAGGTGCTCCTTACTAATGCTGCTATGTGAAAACCAGTTGTTTTTCAAGTGTGGAATGATCTGTCACTCCTGAAGGATGATTCGAGAGTTAATGATCAAAAACTACCAACAGATTTTAGATGAAAGGACAAGTTAAAGAAGCCCAAGAAACTTGTGGAATTTGATAGCTGAGTTATTTGACTGGTGGGAAAAAAGCAGACACTGACTTCCCCCACCTCACCCCCACACACACCCCTTTCCCCAATTCACTCATAACCGGAAAGCTGCAACCCTATTTTAACTTAGACATAATGTTGAGGGGAGGGGAGCATCCTTCTGTTTCGTGAATTGGAAAATTTTCTTTCCAAAGGAGGCTCCGTTTTTTGACAGCTTGGAACAAGTGGAAACATTTATGTGCTTAGAATGCAGATTGTTTTGCCACTTATAAGTCTGCCCATAAAACTTGTACAGGAGCTTGAGACCCAGGGTGTGTGATATAGTCTCTCCCTGTAAAAGGCATCCCTGTGGTTCCTCCCCAGCTTATAGACAACAGAAATTTGAACCCAAGGTAGTTGTGTTGGAGCAGCCACCCAATGTATTTACTTCTTGTTCTTTCACTCAGTTCCACACATAAGAATTTCAAGAAAATCAGATGGCATCCGGAGATTTCTGCTCACCTGGAGAGGGGATGGAAATACTCCAACAAGGTAAGGGCTGCCATTTGAAGGAGGTTTGATGACTTACCCAGAGAGGTCTGAGCCAGGTTCTTGCTTTCTATAATGAAAAGGATTTATAAAGTCCACCAGTATGGTTTCTCACATAAAAGGCGAAGTTCCTGGGGAAACTAGGATACATGAAGATTCTTCGACACTCTTATTAGAAAACAGATTACACCGGCTCCTGTTAAGCACCCTCCTGTGCAGTAGACTAAAAACTCCAGTCGCTTCCATGCTGTGTCAGCAGGCATAACCTGAAGAGAAGGGTGGCCAGCAAACTCTGAAGGCTTCCTTTCTACCTGGGTCTTGAATTTTCTCATATCTTGTACTCCAAAATCTCAGATCCTCACGTATCTTGAATTCTTCCCCTATCTCAAGCCCTTTCTATATCTTGAATCCTTCTGTATCTTGAATTCTTTCCCTATCTCTAACCCTTTCTATATCTTGAATCCTTCAAGAACTTGAATCTTCTATTATTTTGAACATTGCCAAGTTGATCCTTCAGTGCCTGAGGGGGAGAAAAAAGAGTTCTTATTTTCCAAAAGTGCTTTCTCATGGTCCAAAGCATGAAAGTTTGATTGTTTGGTAAGTAGGAGTAAAACAGAAGACCCCAGCAGAAAGCATGTGGGAAAAGAGATGGAAAGAGAGGCCCTTGAGCTGAGGCAATAACCAGAGGATCCCAGTTTCTTGCACTTTTTCTCATTCTTGTGCTGCTCTGAATCCACATGGGTTACCCAGCTCTGTTTATAATAAGAATTTAATTCAGTTTTTCAGTTACTCCTAAGAGTTTATCTTCTTGCAGTCTTGCTTATGCAACTAGAGATCACATCCAAAGTTGGAACTTTACCTTTGTTTTTTTCCCTTCCTCAAGAATTCTAGTTATTCTATGTGAATGAGGCATTTGGAGTACTGTGGTGACCCCTACCAAAAGGTCCCTTATTCCTGATTCTATTTGTCTAATACTTTCCAACTGTACTTCCATTGTCTAAGCTCTTAGTTTCATTGGAGACTCATTCCCTAATTCTTGATTAATATCTTTGTGTATATATATATATAGAAATGCTTGATACTTTTGAGTATTGCCTTGAGTTTATTTGTGGGGTTTTTTAAACATTTCATTAGATTTAGAAAACTTCCATACTAAAAACCTAGGGGTTTTTTGCAAGTGAGTATTAAGCTAAGAGTGATTCTCAATTATATATGATAGCTTCTCTGCTTTTTTCTTTTTTTTTTTTTGCCCCTGTGGGGGACATCCCATTAAGTGTGCAGCAAACAGCTTCCTCCTTGTAACCTGAGTGAAGAGGACCTGTTACAGAACCCACACTTCAGCAAACTGCTTCTGGGTCTCTCACAGCACATGGATGAGAGCGGCTTAAGCCTCACCCTGGCAAAGGAGCAGGCTCAGGTAAGAGCCCTGGGAGGAGGGATGATAGGAGGAAGGAAAAAGTTTCCAAGAGAGAAAGAGGTTCCTGCCTGGGATTTTTTTGGTTTCGTAGGCATGGAAGGAAGTTCGACTGCATAAGGCAACATGGCTGAGGTCTGAGATTTTACAGAGAGTCATTCAAGAGCTGCTTGTGGACTACTACGTGAAGACACAAGACACAAATTTAACTTCTGAGGACAAAAAGGTGAAGCAGGAGAGATGCAGTAGGGGGTAGTTACCAGCTGCAGGAACGACCAGGCCAACTATGGCATCACCTGATTATATGCTCTGGGGGAAATAGGAACTTCGAGTAATGGTTATCAAAGAAGAAATGGACTGGGGCACCTGGCTGGCTTGGTGGGTGGAGCATGTGACTCTTGATCTCAGGGTTCAAGCCTGTGAGTTCAAGCCCCACACTGGGTGTAGATATTACTTAAAAATAAAATCTGTTAAAAGAAGAAGAAGAAATAGACTGTAATTATGGCGGAAGAGGTGGGTGTGTTGTCAGGGTTTTGAAAAGAAAGATTGACAGGAGAAGGCACTGGCAGCTGAAGGGGATAAGATGTTTGAGGACTTTGAAAATGTGTGAAGAACTGGTTTATGAGGATGGAGGAGGAGGAGGGGGAGGAGTTGTATAGTAACCTCTTTTTGTTTTTTATTCTCTCTCAGTTTCATGAGACCCTTGAACAGCGGCTACTCGTGACTGAACTGACACGACTGTTAGGTCCCAGCCAGGAGAGAGAAATGCCTCCGCTGTTGGGGCTGGAGAAGGCGGACCTTCTGGAGCTCATGCCCCGCTCAGAGGTTGTGGGTGGGCAGATATTGGGACCAAAGAAGTGAAATGGCTTAATTTCTCCTATATATTTAAACGGTTTTTTGTTACATTTTTGTTTTTGTAAAAATGATACATGTTCATGGGGGCCAAACTCAAATAAGAAAAATGTTACACAGAAGAAAGTAAAAGCTGAAATACTACACCTAGGAATAAGTACAGTATATTTTATACAGCTCGACATAAATGGTATTATAGCCTCCATGCTTGTATAGTGAATGTAATCTGTTTTCACTTAATATATTTGGGACTTTTTTCAAGTCAATAAATAAATGTGAATAAGATGATAGCTCCTAAAGCACTCTTAGCACAGTGCCAGGCACATAGTCTGTGCTCAGTGTTCTTATTATATCATCAGTTTATTTTGTTTTATTTTATTTATGTATTTATTTTTAAGATTTTATTTATTATTTGACAGGGAGACACAGCGAGATCAGGAACACAAGCAAGGGGAGTGGGAGACAGAGAAGCAGGCTTCCTGCCGAGGAGGGAGCCCGATGCGGGGCTCGATCCCAGCACCCTGGGATCATGACCTGAGCTGAAGGCAGACGCTTAACAGCTGAGCCACACAGGCGCCCCTGTTTTAATTTATTTTTTAAAGGATTTATTTATTTATTTGAGAGGGAGAGAGTGCAAGTGAGAGGAGGGGCAGAGGGAGAGAGAGAATCCCAAGCAGACTCCCTGCTGAGCATGGAGCTGACTCGTGGCTCAATCTCACAACCCTGAGATCATGACCTGAGCCGAAACCAACTGAGCCACCCAGGCGCCCCTATTTCATCAGTTTAAATCACTGATAGGATTCCATTGTATGGGGGCGCCTGGCTGGCTCAGTCGGTAGACCTTGCAACTCTTGATCTCAGGGTGGTGAGTTTGAGCCCCACATTGGGGGGTAGAGATTACATTAAAAAAAAAAAATAGATTCCATTGTATGGATGTAGCATAGTTTGCTTAACCTTAATGATGGATATGGTAGTTTCTGCATTTTTGCTGTTAGAAACCTCACTGATAGGAACGTTGCTAGTTCATAAGTGTGTTTGCCTTTGTATGATTATTTCCCCAATTATGAGTTCTCAAAGTGGGATCACTGGTCAGAGGATATACACATTAAACATATTGGTACATATTGCCAGTTCCCCACCTTTTCATCAACATGGGGTGTTGACCATCATTTTATTCTTTGCAAATTTGATAGGCTAATAAAAATGAATCTTCCTGTTGTCTCCTGATGCATTTTTCTGGTATCAGTGAGAGTGTTATCATCCTTTACTCATTGGCTGGATCTTCCTAGTTCTAATAGTCTATTTGCATCTCTCTTTTTGCTTCTGTGGCTATAGGATTTTGTGTGGATGAGAGCTCGGCTCCCACTGGACGTGGAGGAGCAGCTCAAGAAGAAATGTTTCACCCTGCTCTGCTACCATGACCCCAATTCAGGTGAGTGCTGGCACTCTGCTCTGTTCCCAGCTAACCTGCAGGGTTCCTGGTCTGCTCTTAGAAGAATGCACTGAATTTTAGATTTGGGGCAGAAGCTAGGAAGCATTGGAGATGCTTATTTGTTTGCTTTCTTGCTGGTAGAATACAAGCAAGGAATTGTGTGAGAACTCCTTTTTTTCAGCAAGGTACCAAGTGTCCTCTTACTGCAGGGAAGGATGAGTTCATTCGTCTCCAGAGAATCAGAATGGAATAGGGAAGAAAGTTCAGGCTAATAGATATTCCCTTTATCTTCATTTCTATGACTTAAGAATTAAGGGCCAAATCTGGACTTAAAGGTAAGAGCGAGAGGCACGAGGCTGGCTCAGTCTGAAGAGCATTTGACTCTTGATCTCAGGGTCTTGAGTTCGAGCCCCATGTTGGGTGTAGAGATTATTTAAATAAAAAAAATAACAAAGGTAAGAGCAAAGAGAACTTTTTGAGAACTGGGCCATTTTATTATTTTTTTATGTTATTTTTTTAAAGATTTTATTTATTTATTTGACAGAGAGAGAGATAGCGACAGCAAGAACACAAGCAGGGGGAATGGGGGAGGGAGAAGCAGGCTTCCCACTGAGCAGGGAGCCCAATGCAGGGCTCGATCCCAGGACCCTGGGATCATGACCTGAGCCAAAGGCAGATGCTTAACGACTGAGCCACCCAGGCGCCCCGAGAACCGGGTCTTTTTTTTTTTTTTTTTAATTTATTTGACAGAGAGAGACACAGCGAGAGAGGGAACACAAACAGGGGGAGCGGGAGAGGGAGAAGCAGGCTTCCCGCTGAGCAGGGAGCCCGATGTGGGGCTCGATCCCAGGACCCTGGGATCATGACCTGAGCCGAAGGCAGCCGCTAAATGACTGAGCCACCCAGGCGCCCCAGAACTGGGTCTTTTTAAGAGGACACGAGAAGCAAACCTGAAGAATTTGTAGGGCTAGATGTGGGATAGCACACTGAAAAATGGCCTTAGAAGGGCAGTAGCAATTAGGGTTTTCCTGTCAGTCCTCTTTTCTTTGTTTTATTTTATTATTATTATTTTAAGATTTTATTTATTTATTTGACAGAGAGAGACACAGTGAGAGAGGGAACATAAGCAGGGGGAGTGGAAGAAGCAGGCTCCCCGCTGAGCAGGGAGCCCGAAGCGAGGCTCGATCCCAGGACCCTGGGATCATGACCTGAGCCAAAGGCAGACGCTTAACCAGCTGAGCCACCCAGGCACCCCTAGTCCTCTGTCTCTTTGCCCAGATTCCGACAGTGAAACCTTGAAGGCAGCAAAGGTGTGGAAACTGGCAGAGGTCCTGGTGGGTGAGAAGCAGCAATGCCAGGGTGCCAAGAGCCAGCAGAAGGAGCAGACGGTGCTGCTCGAGAAGAAGAGTGCCACTTACTCCCAGGTTTGTCAGAGCAGTGGGATAGCCTCTTGTGTCTTTTATCCTGGTGCCAGGGGCACTTTTGGGGAAGCCAAGGAGTTTTGATCTACCTTCTTTTCTACTGACTTCTGATTTTGCCCTCTTCCTGCCTCCCCGGGGCTCAGGTACTTCTGCGCTGCCTTGCCTTGCTGCAGAGGCTTCTTCAGGAGCACCGGCTTAAGACTCAGTCTGAGCTGGACCGCATCAATGCCCAGTACCTGGAGATCAAGTGCAGTGCCATGATCCTTAAGCTGAGGTGAGCCATATGCCCCCTGTGGGTCTCGGGAACTTGGTCTCACACACCCTCCCCCTTATCTCTCTTTCCTGTCTGCCATGCCTAGCATCTTATGGGTCTTCAGTTAATGGCACACAGCACTATTAGCCTTTGGATTACCCAGAAGTGTTCAACATTCTTTTCTTTTTCTTTTTCTTTTTTTTTTTAAGATTTATTTATTTTGAGAGCACAAGCATGCACTGTGGGGAGGGGCAGAAAGAGAGTCCCAAGCAGACTCTGCGCTGACCACAGAGCCTGACACGGGGCTCGATCCCACAACCCTGAGATCACAACCTGAGCCAAAACCAAGAGTCAGACTGTGCCACCCAGATGCCCCCTTTCAACATTCTTGAGTCTTATTTTATTTCATTTTTTAATTTTTTAATTTTACTTAATATTTTAGAGAGCATGCGAGTCGGGGGGAGGAGCAGAGGGAGAGGGACAGGCAGACTCCGCATTGAGTGCAACATGGGGCCGGTCTCATGACCCTGAGCCAAAATCAAGAGTTGGATGCTCAACCCACTGAGCCACCCAGGTGCCCCTTGAGTCTTATTTTAAAGCCTTCCGAAATAGGTGCACTCTTGTGAGATACGTTACTCAGGAATTCAGAGTGACCTTGCTTATCCTGTCTCTGCTTAGCCCACATCTTGACCATGGGCAGGTACTATGTCCTGTTCCTAACTCTGCTCCCATCAGGGACCCTCAGCATTTCTTTTTTCCCCTCTGTCAGGATGGAGGAGCTAAAGATCTTGTCTGACACTTATACTGCTGAGAAGGTGGAAGTTCATCGTCTCATTAGGTGAGAACTCCCAAGGGCCTGGTCCCACACTCTCCAACCCGCTCATTTTAATGTGTTCACATTCTTGTCTCCTTTCTGAGGAGCCAGATTCTTACATTGTATCTTCTTTTCCCCGGGCATATAGGGACCGTTTGGAGGGGGCCATTCGCCTACAAGAGCAGGACATGGAGAAGTCCCGACAGGTCCTGAGCACCTATGAGGTCCTTGGGGAGGAGTTTGACAGGCTGGTAAAAGAGTACACTGAACTCAAGCAGGCAGCTGAGAACAAGCGCTGGGCCCTCCGGGAGTTTAACAAGGCCTGTCGCTGAGCGCTGCCTGGTGGGGTTCCGGCGACGGACTTCTGCATGGGCGCTGCCTCCCCCTCCTCCTGCTGAAAGGATCACCTCCACCTGAGGCCCACTTTCACTCCGGGAGTGTGGGGACACTTGCTTGAAACCCTGCAGTGGATTAGGCACTGTCCTGGTTTTTCTTCCTTGTTTACAGTGACTGAGTCTCTTCTGGGAAATGGAGCAGATTTATGTAATTCTCTGTGCAGCTATTTGTCAGTGTCAGCCCTGTATTATATTTGATTATCTCCTGAATAAAGTGATGATGCTTCCTTTGGGCACAGATGAAAAAAGAACATCAAAGACTAGATGGGTAAGGAGGGGAACTGAGTGGATCCAGATGAACAGATGTGTAATGCTTACACGAGGAGTGGGAGGTAGGAGTGCCGGCCTGCCCACCTGGAGTCTTAGAGGCTTCATTCTTGGAGAGCAGACATGGATTAAATCTGGCCTTGCTGTTGAAGAACTGTAATATCCAGAGGAGGGCTGGAGGCCACGGCGGGTAGGGGGCGATTCTGTCACCCCGGCTGTTAGTGGGGCAGTTAGGATAAAGCAGCAGAGCATCCAGCCCTGTTACAGGGAAAGACACAAGCCACTTGTGTTCCCAGTTTCCGCTGGTGAGGTTTGAGGGTTACTTTTTTCTCTGAAAGCAGAGTGGGAAGAGATCGCCCTGTGTGGTTTGAGGGTTACTTTTTTCTCTAAAGGAGGGAGTGGGAAGAGATCACCCCAAGGAACCAAGTTTCATAGTCCACTTAGCTTAGAACAAGGCAGGGAGGGCCCTGATGGCATCAAAGTCAGGGACTGAGAACAGAAGCAGAAGATCTCCACCCTTACTTACAAGAGCCTACTCACCTTCTCAAGCTACTTTCAAGGGAGACTGTCTAGACTGTCTTGAGGTGTTCTGCTACAATAAATAATGATGGTCTTGGATTGGTTTATAGGAAAAACTAAGGTCTTTAACATAATTTAGATTTTTTCTATAAATGGTGCTTACTGCCATTTATCTACAAGGAAATGACAGAGAAATGTTGGCCCACACGAAATTCACAGACGCTTAACGACTGAGCCCACATTGAAAATGGGGCATGACTGAAATGAAAATGAAAATTCAGTAGGTTGGTGGTTACTGTATTGGGTGGTGCAAATATAGAACACTTACATCATTATAGAAAGTTCTGGGGCACCTGGGTGGCTCAGTCGTTAAGCATCTGCCTTCGGCTCAGGTCATGGTCCCAGGGTCCTGGGATCGAGCCCCACATCGGGCTCTCTGCTTGGCGAGAAGTCTGCTTCTCCCTCTCCCACTCCCTCTGCTTGTGTCCCCTCTCTCGCTGTGTCTCTCTCTGTCAAATAAATAAAATCTTAAAAATAAACAAGCTATTGAAAAAACAAAGTTCTATTGGACAGTGCTATAAGCCTACATTTCCTCTAAACTGGAAGTAGGTCTACAGGCTTTATTAGATTCGGGTTAGGGCGCCTGGGTGGCTCAGATGGTTAAGCGTCTGCCTTCGGCTCAGGTCATGATCCCAGGGTCCTGGGATCGAGCCCCGCATCCGGCTCCCTGCTCCATGGGAAGCCTGCTTCTCCCTCTCCCGCTCCCCCTGCTTGTGTTCCCTCTCTCGCTGCGTCTCTCTCTGTCAAATAAATAAAATCTTTAAAAAAAAAAGGATTCGGGTTAAACATTGTTGCAAAGTACTTAATAGATGGTATTATGTACTTGACATTATAGCACCCTGGAACCATATCAGGTTAGAATGTCTCACAATTAATTATGCTGAGTTGGATTGCTTGGTTAAGGTGGTAACTGCCAATCTCTCTCCTATATAGAATACATTTTCCCTTTGTAGTTAGCATCTAGAGATGAACATCAAAAATCTCAAAATAGTTTTTCCTGATATTTATTATGGCATTCAGCATTTCCTCATTTAATTAGGTACTCATCTTAAACCATACTAGGTTTTGATATTTGAAATAATAAGGATAATAATAAAAAAGAAATGGACCCTGTCTTCAAGGTCTACAACTTAATAGTAGACACATAAAAACAGTCTAAGAATATAAAGTAATAGGAAGTGCAAATGAATATGGTTGAAAACCAAGAGAAGTGGGGCGCCTGGGTGGCTCAGTCGTTAAGTGTCTGCCTTTGGCTCAGGTCATGGTCCCAGGGCCCTGGGATCAGGCCCCGCATTGGGCTCCCTGCTCAGCAGGAAGCCTGCTTCTCCCTCTCCCACTCCCCCTGCTTGTGTTCCCTCTCTTGCTGTGTTTCTCTCTGTCAAATAAATAAATAAAATCTTAAAAAAAACAAAATGAGAAGTGAATCAGGAATTATAAGGTAGAGTCTTAGGGAAGAGAGCTTTGGTTCAGGCTTTAGAGGTAAGTTTGGGATGGCATTTTGGAAAAAGTGACAAAGACAAGGGAAGGGGTAGTGGGTGAAGGCACAGGGTTAGAAATGAGTAAATCATGCACCAAGGAAAGCCTTCATCTTAAATAACCAAAATTTGAGAAGAATATCCCATGGCTTCAATCAAGTCCCTGGAGAGCTGGGGTCTGAGAAATGTTTAGATTTCCAACTACCTGAGAAAGCAAAATGGCTTCCAAGGCAATGGTTCCTGGCCCTGGCTCCCTAAATGACATGCAGCTGGACCGCTAGCTGTTCCTTGTGTTTCCCAAAACCCAAATGAAACCGAACATTTGCTTGTAACAGTAGTGCCCAACTATATAAAAAAAATATATTTATTGGCTTAAAAACAACAACAAAAAAACCTCACACAAATATATAATAGTAAAAAGTAAAAGATTTACCACACCCCCTGAGACACACACACACACACACACACACAGCCCATTACCCCAATCCACGACGCTAGAGTAACTAGAGTGATTTGGTGAATATTATGCCAGAGCTTTTTCTAAACATTTGCAAACTTATGTACAGCAATATTAGCTCATATTGTTGGAGTATGGCTACATCATAATTTAACCATTCCCTTCACGAGAGGTATTTAGATTGTTTCCAGTTTGCCCTATTACAAAATGCTTAATTGAATATCATTGCATCTGTACCTTGCTCAAGTGTCTGCTTTTTTTGTATTACAGAAAGTCAGTATATTAATTCTAGTAATTTCATGAGGGCACCTGGGTAGCTGAGTCAGTTAAGCGTCTGCCTTCAGCTCAGGTCATGATCCCAGGGTTCGACTCCCACATTGGGCTCCCTGCCCAGCAGGGAATCTGCTTCTATCTCTGCCCGCCCCCCCCGCCCCGCTCCCTGCTCGCTTGCTCTCTCTTGCAAAAATAAAAAAAAAAAAAATCTAGTAATTTCATGGAAAAGTTAGTTACTGAGCTTATGAATATAGTGCAGAAAAAGTATCTCAAAACTGTGCCATGGAGGTGGGAGAAGGGACAAGAGGTGTCCAGTGCTGCCCGAAGGGGGCACCACAGCGGTTTGTCTTGGTCCTTTCCTTGCTCACAGTGACTGGGGATGGCAGGTTCGCAGGATTTCGCGTCAGCTGTTGGCTATTGTGGAACAGGTGGGAAGGGGATTGCAGGGCCAGGGGAGGGGCTGGGTGACGGTGCGAGCCGAAGGTTAGCGTCTTGGACTTCAGTTGCCCTCACTCCCCCTCACACTTCAGAAAAGATTTACATTTACTGCCTTTCTCCTTTCTTTCACAAGCATCTCTCTCTTCACTTGTCTTTTACCCCACCTGACCAAGAACTCCGTCTTGCTGATTCTTCCTCTATAATGAGAAACAAAATAAATCACCCCCAGAGCTTGGGATAGGATTGTTCTCCGTAAGGAAACTCTGGGGCTCTTGGACAAACAAAACCTGTCCCCTCAAGGTTCTCAATGAAGGGTGACTCTCCAGGTCTCTGGGGCAGCGAGCCTGCATTCTTCCTCAGCCAGCACAAAGGAAATCCAGCGCCCTCTAGAGGCCGGCCGGATGCTCCCACAAAGAGAGGGGACTCCCTGAGGTCTGGCCTCTCTGTGGGGCCCCTAACCCCCTGAACAGTCTCTCTACATTACCCATCTTGAAGGACCTGGGCTAGGTTTTGTTAAAGGAACTGGTAGGTCTCCTTATATCTTGAGACAGTGAAGATATAGGAGTCAACTGTTAATGGACAAGATTAGCAATCTGTAGAAATAATTTACTGTGAAAAGTGGTTTGTGTTCGAGGGGCTGAGGTCTAGCCTAAGTGGTTTTCCTGGTCTAGAAAAATACAAATGAAATTTAGAGAGACCTAAATGTACCAAGCCTGGCTGAAGAAAGAACGTATAATCAAAAGTAAACGATCAGTCTGAATTTAGGAAAGGGTTATCCAAAGAGCAAGGTCAGGGTTCTCCAGAGAAACAGAACCTATGATTTATATTTTATTATGTTACATTATATTATATTATATATTTTATTTTATATTAATAATTATATTTTTCTATTTATTATATAAAATGATATTTATTTTAAGGAATTGGCTCATGTGATTGTGGGGCTGGCAATTCTGAAAATTGAAGGGTGGGCTGTAGGCAGGCAACTCAGGGAGAAATGATGCTTGCTGTTTTGAGACAGAATTTCTTCTTCAGTGGGAAACCTCAGTTTTTGCTCCAAAGGCCTTAAACTGGGGCACCTGCCTGGATCAGTCGGTAGAGCATGCAACTCTTTTTTTTTTTTTTAAGATTTTATTTATTTATTTGACAGAGAGAGACACAGCGAGAGAGGGAACACAAGCAGGGGGAATGGGAGAGGGAGAAGCAGGCTTCCCGTGGAGCAGGGAGCCGGATGTGGGGCTCAATCCCAGGACCCTGGGATCATGACCTGAGCCGAAGGCAGACGCTTAACGACTGAGCCACCCAGGTGCCCCGAGCATGCAACTCTTGACCTCAGGGTCTTGTTGGAGACCCCATATTAGGGGTAGAGTTTACTTTAAAAAAAAAAATTAAAAAGAAAAAAGGCCTTAAACTGATTGGGTGAGATCCCTTTGCATTAGCAAGAGTACTCTACTTAAAGTCAGCTGATTGTAGATGCTAACCACATCTACAGAACATCTTCACTGCAGCACCTAGATTAGTGTTTGTTTAAATAACTGGGTACTGGGGCACCTGGGTGGTTCAGTTGGTTATGTGTCTGACTTTGGCTCAGGTCATGATCTTGGGGTCCTGACACGGAGCCCCATGTCAGCCTCCCTGCCCAGTGGGGAGTCTACTTGTCCCTCTCCCTCCTCCCCTCCCCCCTCAAATAAATAAATAAAATCGGGGCCCCACCTGGGTGGCTCAGTTGTCGGGTGTCTGCCT